AAGAGAGAGGGAGACAGGTCACAGGCACGTAAATTGAAACTTAAAGGAGGAGTAGGCATTTTCCAAGAAGGGCAGAAGACAGACTGGGAGGGCCATTTCAGGCAGAGTACAGAAAAGTGAAGGTGAGAGTGTGCCACACCAGGGGAGGGAGGGGACTTTTACCCAGAATCTGGGGGCAGAACTATGAGTCCTTCTTGAGAAGCTAACAGTCTTATGTTCTTGTGGCGGGAGAACCAGAAGAAAAGGGAGGTGTTACTCTCACATAATCCGTGTCCCCAGTGCTGTGGAAACTAAGGCTTTTGTTTTTTCTCTGGGGTGGGGCGACAGGTAAGTGGACTCTCAATCAAAATCACTTTATGCTTTTTTCTTTGGATGTGATTAGTTTTAAGGCACTGTAAGTGATTTTCAAACATATAAGCTGATTTGGGAAGCAATACCGGTTCTTTCAGAAGTTATTTCAACAATCTTCCCTAGGTCATAAAATTGATTTTGTCGGCTTCCAAAGCTACTCTGGGATGAAAACAAAACTATAATTTAAAAGGAGGTGTTATTTGTAGTTACTATTTTATTTTCACTGGGTTATTTGAATACATCAGTGACACAATTGATAACGGTGTTGCTACCAGTGCAACAGTCATGCAGGTTGATCCCTATTTCTTTTCTTCTACAAATACTAAAAGAAAACCTCTTGTTCTTCAATTAAAAAAATAAGTGGAAAAGTCTTGAATTAGTGCATAATCCAGGTGTGAAGAAAGAGCTGGACATTTCCATCTTTTCATGTCAGAAAATAAGTGCTAAACTCTGACCTTGGAAGATGAGCAATAACACATGTTAGAAGCAGTCTGATCAAAGGACGGCATCCAGAAACAGCAGCTAAAATAATAGCAATGCGTTGTCACAACAAAACAACCTGGAGGTTTCCCAAGATAGAGGAGAGATCTTTCTCTCAAAGGATGTAAGAGTTGGAAATAGGGGCTGGAATTCATGGATTGAAGGCATAATCCTGTCAGTTGCATATATTAGCTTTTACATATATTAGCTATTTTCATCCTCAGGGAAGTAGGTATTATTACTCCCATTTTCTAGATGAGGAAACTAAACTTTTGATGTCTTGTAATGTGGGTGTGGTGGTCTCTCGTCCATGGATGGAAAATTCCTGGCTGTGTGCTGTTGTTTCCTGCTCCAGCTTCCACAGTGGACACCAGGCAAGGCATAGTCTAGCTGCTCCACCTGGGCTGGTCGCTCCTCTCATTTTACAGATGAGGAAACTGAGATGGGAAGCCTTTAAGGGCTTGTTCCAAATCACACAGGAAGTCAGTCACAGAGCTAGGTTTGGAACTCAGTTGTCTTGATTCCTCATGAAGTCCACTTCCCATTGGCCCAACCGCACCTACTTTCTACCCTTTCTCTACTGCATGATATAAAGAAGAGACTAGGGGGACTTAATTTATTATAATAGTGGCATCTAAAATGTATATAATTTTGGAGCTCCTGGCTAAGACTATGTAAGTCACAAAGTTATCAATTTGGCACCAGCAAGATAGAAGAAGAGTGTGAAGAGCAGTAATGGCCTTCGGGTTTATTTAACCAGTGACATTAAAGTGTTGTATTGAATGGCAGAGTGGCCACGAGGTTTTGCGCAAAGAAGGAAGAGAGTTTGTTCTCTTTCTGTCACTTACTAAATAAAGGCCTTGGGTCACAACAAGCCAAAGCAGTCATGTCCATGAAATGGGACCCATCGCCCTGGGCCCACCTTGGGAAGTTGATATGGTGGTCTCCCATCCAGGTTCTAGGAGGTGATTCTAAGCTATGTGTTTCTACTTTCCACAAAGAATTCCAAAAGAGTGGAAAGTCAGGAACAAAGTTCCCAAAGATTTTGTGAATGAGTCATTCATTTGTTTCTCCTAGGAGAGTTAAAAAACAAAATTCAACAAAATAAAAAACTCCCAAGTGCCAGTCATTTTGGAAATGCTATTTGAAAAGCAGTACATTTTATGGTCCTGTTTGCAGATTTATGAATTAATATGTGCTCATAGCCTAAGGCCAAAATATCCTAGTACGTGGAATAGTTTATTAAAAAGCTGTACATCTATCACTGTTTTGTAAGCTTTCATGGTAATTTGCATTCACTGGGGAATTAAATGTATGTGTGACACAAATTTACGTTAATTTATTCAGTGAGCAATGGCATGCTTTAAGGGGATTCAAAGTGATCATAATAATGGTGAGCAAACACATCTTTGATGGTTAGCATTGCAACCAGGTAAAAACACCTGGGATGGGATGAAAATGAAGGGGCTTTTCAGAGGTCATTTCCAAGAACATCTTATATATTTACGTGACACATGGCCAAACTAGGAATTCTATGTAGTCTGTGTAAGTGACAGTCATATTAGAACTCAACAAGAACAGAAGAAACAATTTGAGAACTGACTTTAAAAGCAGCTAGGGAGAGAAGAAAGCAAATGAAACACTCACTGAATAAAAATAGGGGTGACTGAAGCTAATACGTTTGAGATTCTCTCGATAAGAAACAGTTATGTTTAAAAATTCAGTACGAATCTGTTTCTAAAAGATATAGGTGTGTGGCTTACTGCTCAGAAATGCTTTTGTAAAAAGGATGAATCTATGTTTCCAAAGTGATCCAGATTATGTTTCAAGTTGTTGTGTTTAAACCTTTAAGTAGAAACACAAACACAGAAAAAGGTACATATGCTTGTCATGACTTGCTAGTTAATTCATTATTTCTTCTGCTATCTTGAGACTTCCACCTACCTGTAACTTAAAATTGTGGTTCTCTACTTTAGCATGCATAGGAATAACAAAAAGTGCTAGTTAAACATAGATATTCCAGGGTTCCACCACAATTCTGATTTGCTAAATTTAAGTTAACATTCTGGAATCTGTATTTTAGGAAGACTTACAAGAGGTTCTGATAGAGGTGAACGGTAGCCCACACCATGAGAAATACAGCCTGAGACCAATTTCCAAGGGAGAACTCTGAATGTACACCCTTATTTTGGAGTGGCTAGTTGGATATAACATATGCTCTCATACATTGTTCTTTTTTATTGACATAAATCTTACCAAATCCCTGTGTATGGCAGCACAGAGCTAGGATAAAAAACAGTTCCTGACCTTGGGAAAATCCCGCAGTTTCCTCATATTTAAAATAAGAGAATTGAACTAAATGCTGTCTAGATTCCTATGTAGTTCTAATACTTTATATGCATATCTGATGCCTGGCAAATATTTCTTGAAGATTATGACTCATGTGTCAGCCAGCGTGGATGGCAATTAGCCAGGAACAAACAGAAATCAGTCTTTGGGCCATTAAATCAGTTAAAAAGATTCAATAAGATTCCCCTCCCCACCCTGACATTTCAGCCACAACCTAGGGAGCTGGAATGGCAATTAGGTACATGAACTCTGTGCTTAAATGAAAGAAGATTTATCTTGTTTTCCTAAAATTTTAATTGTCTACATATAATTATGAGAAATTAGATGTATTGATTGCCAAGCTGCCATCTCTTTGTGGATGGCTGACAATAAGTATAAATAAAAATCATGCTTAGAATACTTTTCAATAATTCTGTCACCAACAGAGTAAATACAACTGACACCATTTGTGTTACAAATAATTGAATTCAGAAAGTTCCCATTCGACTAACTCTATGTTAAGTGAAAAACCAATTCCCTTGCCTGATGCTTTTGAAATAATCTTTTTATATGAGACAGAGACTATAAGATTAAAGTCATAGAAAACAACAGCAGACTATTAAAATAGTAACACTGAAAAAACTATATTACAGAAGTCAGGACTTACAGTTTTCTTTGGTGTAAATTCTATACAAGGCCATATGTGGTATCTTACTGATAAAAGTGGCTTAAAAAAATATGTTCGTTGAGAGTCAATTTCAGTCACAAACACAAGTTGACTCTACACTTCCTTAAAATGTCTATAGATAGCAATAAAAAAATTGTCCATTCCTATAATTGTTTATTTAAAACAACAGCATGTTATGTAATGCTGGTTGTTTTTTTTTTTAAATAACTGCTTATTAAGACACTTGCAAATAGCTGCAGCAAAGCCTATGAATATAAGGCGGAGTCTCATTCATTGATTGTTCACCAAAACATTCATTGCTACCAAGAGGAGAGGCTGCTCCAGGCACCGGAGATGGGGGTGAAGGGGCAGAGGCCAGGTAAAGTAACTTTCTGTTCTCACGGGGCTTCACTTCTAAGGGGTGTTAGACAGACAATAGACAAATAAGGAAATAAATATGTAAACTAACAAGTGGAAAATAAAGTAAGGGACAAAGAGTGATGGGGAATTTAATATTGATTTGTCAGGGAAGCCACTCTGATAAGGAGCCAGTTGAGCAGAGACCTGAAAGAAGTGAGGAATGAGCCATAAAAACATTGGGGAAAGAGTTCCAGGCAGAGAGAATAGCAACCAAAATGTCTGAAACATTCTAAAAAGTACAATATGAATTTGAAAAACCTAGACTTTTTCAAAAATATTGCAGGCTCTTCTGTAGCTGCAGTCCTCTCTTTTCTATTAAGCCTCTTCGACCACTCAAATCCTAGCAACCTCGTGCTCCCCTGAACCTCCACAGCAGAGCTGAACTCATCATTTAACACAACTCAATGCTGTTTTGTTTTGTTTTGGTGGTGGAGCGAGTCTGATCTCCTTGATTGGATTGTAAATTTAAGAACAATCATCATACTTTATACCAATTCTGACATCAACTCCCCGCTTCTACCCCACATGACCTGGTGTTAAACATGCTAGATTCTTAATAAAGGTATTTGACCAACCAAAGGCTGTGTATGCAAAACTATTTGCAATTTAAAGTTTTTAATGGAAAATGTTTCCTTGTCAAGAATCTCCGGGTTTGGTATGGAATCACTATCACGGTCTAACATTTCCATTTGCAACTGTATGCACTCACCCTACATATACAAAAGCTTACTTAAAAGGAGAAAAACAAAACAAATGAGATATATTAAAAGGCTTTATTCACAATAGAGAAATTTTACAAATATAGTTTTTAAAAATTATGTGTCAATCTATTATGTTTCCCATAACATTAGAGATTTATATAAAGTTGGAAATGACAGAATGGATTTACGTACAAATCAAAAACAATCAATGGAAAGAGTGGCTAATACATATGGAGTCATGACAAACAATGAGTTCTGTAAATTGCCATACGCCTTATGTATGTAATATTAATTGCACAAAGTATACCAAAAACATATGCACAAACACAAAATTAAGTGCTGTTTTAATTATTCACCTTTCAGGACATGAATAGATATGTAAACTTAGCTGCACAGTTTTGCAGAAAATGAATGAAAGACAGTGTCTACCTAAGGACTTCAATTGTTTAAAATAACTAATGCAAAATTTAACTTTAATTAAATTATATCACCGTAATATTAATCTCTTATCTTGTTTACATTTTTGGTGTTTTGGGACTTACGTTTAAAAATCCAAGTTCTAGAATTGAAAAACTTTGTTCTTGCCAGTGGCAGAGCAACATGTAGTACAATCCTCTTGCCTATTTATATTAGCAGACAAAAGGTACATTAGAGTGCAGTGTATACACACAACCTGATTTTAGCATCCGACCTGCTGCAGAAAGCCCTACCAGCTTTGTGCTCTTTCAAAGCAAATTGAAAAGCAGAGAAAATAAATAACAAATTGCCACTCCAAGGACATTCACATGAAAATTATAATCTAAATACATATGGCCCAATTTTGGCAATAATCTTTTATATGTTGCCTTTAAAAGGCAAAAAGGGAAAAAAGGACTCTCACTATCCATTCATTTCATATCATAAGGTGAGCTGAAGATATGAGTGGAAGAAGTTATTCTGGGTCACAGAAACACATTAACATGGCAATAATGATGTACTAAAGGATCTTTTCCATTTACTAATTTTATTAATTTCTTCTTCGACATATACCAATGTACAACACTGAAAAAAGAGCAGGTCACACAAGGTGGTCTTTTCAGACAACGGAAGATCTTTTGAAACGCTTTCAAAAGTTGAAACAGCTAAAACAATTAAGTCTATGGAGATCTGAGAAAATAATTATCCTAAAAAATATAAGGGTGAGCCATATAAAATTGCTTATATTGAACAGTTTTAAACTACAAATGCAGCAATTTCATAGGCTTCAGCCTAACTCATGGCAGTGCACTGATCTATCTGACCGGTGGAAGTTAACAATGCAGGTGGTCAAACTCTTTGTGCCTCAGTATGCACATCATCATATTAGCCCTTTCCTGGGAATATAGTTAAAATATGAACCGATATGATAAGAAAACACAAGATGTCACCAAATCTATTCTTGGGAAAACCACTCATATCTCAAAACAATGCTTTGAAGAATCATATAATTATTTTGATCTGCTCCAGGATTGTGGGGGATTGGCCATGTCCATTCTTATATATTGCTTCTAAGCCCGGATCTCTATGTTGAATTTAACTAGACAAAATATACTATAATCTTATTTGGCCTAAAAGTTTATTAGGTTTTCCTCAACTGAGCATGAATAGATACATTGGCAAAGCTTCTTTCAAAGTTAAATCTTGCTTTCATAAACCGAAATGAAATAATTTACTACCTTTGAGAAAGGGCCCTTTTCAAATCTGAAAAATCTGAACCAAATGTAATGCTTTCTTTTTCTCAAGAGAAAAAATTAAAGATGAAATGCAAACCAAAATCCATATGAAATACTCACCCTTTCTTTAGGGAGACCAATTTCTTCATATATTCAGTTAAAAGCAAAAGCTAGCCCACTAAAAGTTCCACTTTTCCCTTTAAAAAATGTAATTCAGTAATAGGAGAGCTCTGCAGAACTTGAAAGCTCACCTCGCTGTGCGGTAGGGAATGGAAAAAATAATTAACCAGTACACGATCCAGAAATGACACAGGGCATTTAAAGCAAAATTTGAGAACTAATTCACAAATTAGGAAACACTAATATAATTAACCAACAAAAATATACTGTGGTTCCAACGAAATGAGGTCAACATGAGATGATCCTTTTGGAATGACATTCTAATTTGAATTACAATGTGAGTGAAGTATTTTAGAAGACATTCTATCAAATAATGATAGACCCGCATAAGGAGGCTGTCACAGTTATAAGATCTGTCTCTGGTGGATAGACAAACCAGATTAATATGAAATCGAAAAGGAAAAAAGCTTCTTTAATATTTAATTTATTATTATGGCTTTTTGCAACATGGCAAAACATTACAGCTTAAAGCAGACATCATCTCCTCATAGAGGAGGAAAAAGTTTTGCAGTCAAATCAAAATTGTAATTAAGAGGTCATTGGTATACCATTCTACTCAGTTTAATAAAGATGATACGATACCTTCATGAACTCCAGAGATTACTTAAAAAAAAAAAAGAAAAGAAAGAACAACTTGTGATCCACTGATAGAATAATAAGGGCTATGACAAGGAATTTAGGTCTGTCAATGCTTCTGATGGTAAACATGAAAGACTGCAAAACAATTTTAGAACTTAGAATAATCACAGACCTATTAATAAAAGTTCAACATGTGCCTGAACACCAGAAAAGGAATTATGAAGGTATGCAGTGAAGGGAATGGAGCAGAAGAAAATATCAATTGTCTTTTTATTGTTCATTGCCTTCACTCTCCTTTCCATCCGAACAGAGTACAGGGAGCAGATGTGCCTCGGTGTTGAAGATCCAATGTTCCAGAGGGAGTAGGTCGTCATCAGAAAATATTAAGTACAAATATCTGGAGAGAGACATGAGTACGTGAGGCCCGAGAGACCACGTCAGGCAGTGAAACCACAAAGACACCACAAACGCTACATCAGTGTCTCCACGCATCTCGTGGAGAAGGACGGACAACAGGGAAGTAGAGCAAACCCTGAGGGGATATACTCCTTAACGTGGAGTGAAGAAGCTACTCTGGGCTTGGTACTGTGTGTGAGACCCACACAAAGCAGTCCCAAGTCATCAAACTTACACAATGACTGAAAACACACCTGCAATTACTGCCATGCGTGCAGAACGGTGTTCGGAAGCAGTCATACTTCGTATTCCCTGAACATGTTCATGATACAGACATCTACAAAGATCTGGCCAGGTGCCTCAGTTTTGAGAGTAATTTTTACTTACTTCAGCGTCTCTGCCAGGAAGAAACTTTGCTGCACGTCATCATAACTCTCACGGCTGAGGTAAACATCCCTTAGGCCCGAATAGCCTCCGTTCACCCGGCAGTGATTTTCCAGGGCCTACATTACAAAGAAGAGGGGAAAAAATGGTCACATTTCAGTAAACCGATTGTTACTAATTTTGTTATTGCATTGTCAAATTCAAATAAAATGAGGATTCAAATGGAACGATAGATTGTAACCATTTCAGGTGAAAATTTAAAAAAACATAAAATGTAAATGCAAATAAAGTATGAAAAATTACAGGACATATGGACAATATATCTCACCTAAATAGAAAAACTTCCACACTTAGTTTTGGAATAATTTTTCAGTGATTTTTACCATTTCTGTCTATGGTCTAGAGAAGGGTTTGTCAAACTACGGGCCACAGGCTACATCTAGTCTGCTGTTTGCTTTTGTAAATAAAGTGTTATGGAACCACAGCCATGCTCCTTTGTTTACATATTGTCTGTGGCTGTTTTTTAGTTACAAATGGCAGAGTTGAGTAGTTGCATACGGCCCCCAAGCCTAACTCTCTCTGGCCCTTACAGAAAAGGTTTGTTGACCCCCTGGTCTTGAGAGATTATTAATGTCAACTGTGACGATAAACCTCTGGTTGAGAAAGTGCACTGGACCAAAATCAGCTGCGGCTATAATCAGACCATCCTATTTCTTAAAAATTGATTGTGGAGTACTAATTCATGATACTGGAAACAGATATAAAAGAAGAAAATGGAAAGCAGTGAGAAAAATGTGGCTGGTATCTATTTCCAAAATGTATTTTTCTTTTCTTTAGTCTGAGATGGAAGAAGATAGGATGAATCCAGCGGTAATTATCTAGAGAGAAAGGATCCTATATTCCTGTAGTTATCTGACTATAATGAGTTTTTGGAAAAGAGATGGGTTGGGCAGTGTATAAATGAAAATTTAGGTAACAACCTGAAATAACTTGCCCTCTACTTTGTCAGCTGCCCCTTAGTTGACTGCTCCTTGTACTTTGAAATTACACTGGCTGCTTTGCTGGTTAGCAGGCATATTCATCTCCAGGAAAGTTATTTTCTACTTATCACATCCCACTAATCCTATTAACTATATAGTCAAATAAAAATTTCCATTGTATAAAAATTGCCATCAGAAATCTGTTTCTAATTCATAGCATGTGGACAAAAATAATAAAGTTTAAGACTAAACCCCCTAATATTTATGATGAAATAAAGAACACAGAAAAAAACCATTAATAAGGAAACTCAGGTTTTCATGTCATTTTTCATGCATTTTTCAGTTTTCTCTTATGAATCAAAACCCTGTCCCTCTTTCTCTTACATGCATAATTACACCCCATTTTTCCCCCATTTCACCCAACTAGCAAGAAGATGGAAAGCACACATCATGCTATATTAACTTAGAAAAATCTTCATTAACTAGAAAAGGGTTTGGGAGGAAAACATGGCTCTAAGAATGCGGAGCCCAGCAAAGAGAGAGAGATACGGCAAATCTAGTGAGCAGAGACATTGTGCCGAGCGCTCAGCTTCCATCTGCAGATACTGATATTGAGGATATTGATTTTGCACACTATGGGTGGAGGGCAGAAGGGAGAGTGCACGGGGCCACGAGGAGAAGCATTTAATTACCAGGGTAAAGAAATCTAACTGACAGGCTGCATGAATAAAGAAAATCTCTAATGATTTGGTACTTTTTAAAAGCCACCAGGAAAATAAGATCAAGTTAAAATAAATGCTTTGATTATATTCTTAGTTGCAGACAAGGAGCCAAGTAGGGGAAAAGGCTGCAGAAAGGAACTTGCAGGTCCTATTATTTTTTTCCTTCCTTCTTTTTTTTGATAAAAGTTCTTTTTGATAAAAATTCAAATACCAGATACACTGGAGTAGGCCAAAAATTATTTGTAAAAAATGAAAAAAAAATCAGGATTTAGAAGAAATGGGAAAATTCGTTGTTACGGAACATAATGAAATCCTATTTTCAGACATTTCCGGAAAAAAATGGATTATAACCACAAAACTTTTTCTTGGTTTTTCCCTTGAAGTTCTTTGGTGATAAGCTAGAGAGGACCAGGCATGAAAGACAGCCACCCCTTCCTCCCATACAAATTTCCATAAGGACCTTATTTTGTTACAGAAAAAAAGTTGCTGTGGGGGGTAGACAATGTCCAATCATTTCTCCTCTTTTCAAGGTCACCCCAGTCATTCTTTTCCTCCCGCAGTCCTAATGTGGTGAGTCATAGTAGTCAAGAACACAGCCTAAAGTTTCAGAGGAGGCGCTGAATCCCAGCCCTAGACTCCTGAACTGTGACCTCAGAGGGTCCTGGACGCAGGTGGCGGCCCTTTGCTCAACATGGGGCTGTCATGAGGCAAAAACAAGATGACATGCTCAGCACAGTGACGAGGCCTTTCCGAGGATTAGGGAGGACTAGCTACTTTTATTTTTTGAGGCTTTTCGTAAATTAAAAAGAAAAAAATAAAAGAAAATGCCAAAGAGGCATTTTTAACTTTCAGATTTTTAATCTTCATGGCAAGTCTAAATTTTAAGACTTTAAGATTGTGAAGCTGAGGACAAGCAGCTCTCTGGGGCCCTGGTACCAGGCCCTGGTTGTACAGTACCTCAGCGGTGGAAGCACTCATATATCTATGCTGCGTCGTCTGATGAGAACATCATTTTACTGCACTCTGTTCTTGGGGTTCTCAACCTTTAGGCATAGGGACCAGCTCAATTCTATGTAAATGATTACATTATTAGGGACCATAAGTGACTGGGATGTGCTAACAGCAGAGAACAGAAGGATAGACTGGAGCTCTAAACAAAGGAGGAAGGACACACCTGATGCCAAGCGACCATACTTTTTAGGGGGAGAAAGGTAAGAGAGCAGAGAGCAGTGTGAGTTAAATCCATCAGAAATCACCACTGTGAGGCTAGAAAAGCATCCTCTTATCTACTGGGTTAGATATCTACACAGTTGATCCACAGAGATTTCTGAGCAGATCTCAGGGAACAAGGCTGATAACAAGGCTGACCTGTTGAGTTTGGTCTGACCTTAAAGGTAGAACCAGATAAAATGGACATGTCAGAGTTTAGAAACAGGGATCAAACCTGGGGGGCAGAAGAAGGAATGTGGAAGACAAATCCCTCTCTGAGAGCCAGAACATCCAGGTGGAAAAGGTCAGATTTAGAGGACTAGAGAAACATGTCTGTACAAAAAAAAGAAATCCCCATATAACAAGGCTTATCCACTACTGTGGACTGGCAAAGACAGTATACAATGTATACATACCTACATTTATAGACACTATATAATCTATATTTACCTACACATATATGAATGTATACGTATAACCCACAGTATGAGCTTTATCAGAACATTAATTATACATATTTAATTGGGAGGAATTTAATAAAGTTCTTTGTGACATTATTGAGAAAAAGAAAAAGAACCATCAGGTAGATGTTTTTCTGTCGGGTAGGTGCACAAGCGCTTGCACACCTGTGATGAATGGATGGTGGTAACCAGTGGAGGAGGTCTCTAACACCGCATGCTGGATCATGTACTTTCATATTTTGTTCGACATTATTATTCAGAAATTTAGTTAAGACATGGAAAGCAGGTTTGCCAAGTGTATCAGCGAAAGAAGGCTGGGAAGGAAGGACTCTGTTAGAAATAGGAGAACAGCTGACAAACACTTTACAAACCGCAAGCATGGGTGGAAACAAGCACAGAACAACAGAGACGTGTCAACGGTAGCTAATGGAGTGGTTAACGTCATGTGACCATAATTTCAACATATGCCAGGGGCTTTATAAATCTACAAGAAGAACAAGTTGGATCACAGGCTGCGGGAAGTAACCCTCAGAGGTGAAGTTCTTGAGTCACAGGGCTGTGCTGGAGACGCTAGAGCTGGAAACCATGTCATGAGGACAAGGTGGAGGGAAGTGACGGGTGAGGAAGGGAACAGGTGGCAGAATGAGCTGACTTCAGATAACTGAGCAGGTGAAAGGTAGAAGAGAGAGGGTGTTTTCCCCCCAGTATCCCCAGAGCACAGAACACTATAAATTTCTGGTTTCAAAAGAAATAACTTGCTAACACTTTCAGCCATTAAAATATGGAATGAATTACTTTATTAGTAGTATATTCTTTTTTGCTACAAAGTCCTTGAATTGATAAAGAATAGCCATCTGGCAAGATATGGAGAGGAGACTTTTCATTGAGTGGAAGGCGGACTAGGTGATTTTTAAGATCCCCTATGCATTAGCTTGGGTTCCCCTAAAAAGAGAGCATGTGATGAGGAATGGATGTAGGAAGTTTTCTGGGGAGGTGATATCAGGAAGTGAGCGAGTGAGGAGAGTGAAACAGGGAAGGAAGAAGAGCCACTGAAATATGTTGAGCTAATACAGCGGTGTGCAATGGGAGCTCCCTCCTGCTGGAAGTCCTCTGAGGAACTGTGTGGAACACATCTAGGAATTTTTCTTCAAAAAAGGAAGGCTGGGATAGTTATCCATTAACTCCAAAACCTCATAGGTTGAAGGTTGCCCCTGGGGCCATTAACTCCCACACTTCCCAGCTCACAGCCAGCTGCCTGGGAAGAAGCTCTGAGTCAGGAAAGCTGGGAAGCAGTGGGCGCTTGTGGGATGCTGCCTGCCGGCACGTGAGGGCACTGCCCACTGCAGCTGTGGCTGAAACACGGGTGTGTGTGTGTGTGTACAAGCTGAGTGGAGTGACACAAGGGAAAAAGAAGTGCTGCCATAGCTTCTAAGTCTATAATTTTTGTGCTCTAAAAAAGGCAAAGGCCCAGCACTCCTCCCTTCCCACTGTATTTCAAGTTCTAGCAGAAGTTAGTGTTGTGACACAGGGAAACAATTTCATATCAGATGTTACACTAAAAGTTGACAACAGATAAAAATCCTAACACATAACCAATCTTATTACTTCACAAACAAACAAATTCACCTGAAGAACCAAGCAAATCAACACTTCCTGCCCACATGACCATAGAGACTGACTTATTTTCCATTTTTGATCAATTTCTATCATACATTTTTCATATTTTAACATCTTTAAAATTGGCATGTCCTAATTTAATTGGTAGTGTTGTACTTTCTTAGTGGTATATAAAATAATGGTATTACTTATCAATTATGGTGTTTACACTTGATGAAATATGTTATTCCTGATATTTTCAATTTAAACTGATATTTGCAAGGTGAATATTAGCCTTAATTCCTTTGCTGGCCTATGGAGACTAAAAAATTCCCCATCACCAAAGCTTAGATGAACCTCAATTTTAATACATTTTTGAGAGAAAAAACCCATAAATTTAAAGAAACTGCAATTACCACTGACTAAACATAATTAGAAAACTTTGCAGAAAAAAAAAGAGGCCTAAAGAATTGCTATTATTCAAAATGACTGATGACTGGTGATAAGACACATACTAAATGAAGAGGGTAATAAGCAAGATTCATCAACGGCTTCCTAAGATATTAGTTAAATTTTACACAAAGGTAATATTCATTTTAGATTCCCTGAGAGAAGTTATTCCTAATGGACAGGTTTTAAAGACAGCTGACTTTCTAACAAAGAGTGCTAGAGAAGAAGGGAGTGTATTTAAAGTGTTTGCTTATTCTTATCTCCTGAATTTCCTCCCATTCCTTTCAGAAGAATAGCTCTTAAAATTAGACATTGTTGGATGCAGATTCTGGAGTGTGCCTCTGCTGGGTTCCAGCACACAAAGTGTTCAATAGATTCGTGTAGGAAAAGGAGACACCATATTCGCAGGAAGAGACCCAAGAGGTGACAAAGACAAAACAAGACACTGGACAGATGGAAAGCTTATAGACATTCAGAGAAACCTGACTAGTTCTTCTATAGGCTCTTTCTAAAAGCTAGATCTAAGCAGCTAATTTACTCCAAGTAAAAGCATATATCATCATTTCAGTGCCCAAAGACTAACAGAAAAAGCCACACAGTGGTTTCTTGAAACCGAGAATAGGCAGGAGTGACTCTCCCCAAGTAACCCTTTGTGGAGTTAAGTGATCACCATTTCTATAGCTGTGGGAACTTAATTTCATAATATGCCCTTCTAGATATTTCTTTCAATATCAAAGTAGGTATATTTATATCACTGTTAAACAAAGCAAAGTTGAAGCCAGGGATGTAGGGTGATTTCACTGAAAACACTCAGTCTTGAATGGAAAAGAGGCTGGTCAAAGCTTTAAAAATCATATGAAAGTTGATATGCTACATTTATAGCATCACTGGACATTTTTTCCTGAGTCATTTATCTCTAAGAAGCATAAGCAAGTTAGAACATCACCTCCACGGCTTCCCAGGCCCATTTCCTGTACTTCGGATCATGAGTCAGTCGCCACATGTACATGTAAGTCTCCACCACCTCTGGCCGGAGGATGTAGTATTTTTCATTTTGCCTTGTAGCAATGGCTTCAACACCGCCATCAAATCTGAAAGCTTCTGGTCCCAGTTTCACAACTAAAGGACATGCAATGGGTGACAAGTGTCATTGTCCTGAACAATGCTTAAATGAAACTAAAAAGTACTTCATAACATTCAAGAGAGATGCCAAAAACAATCACTTTAAGGAACAGTTACAAACGTCATATCATAAGCAATATTCAATACACTTTTAAAATTTAGTCCTCTGAAAGAGTCCATTTTAGAAAATGATACGATCCTTTTCTTTCATTTAACCACCATTTACTGAGCACCTTCCAGGCACGTACAAGGAACCACAAAAAACCTTATTAACTAGCTAGAAAAACCAGTGGTTGAGAATTCTAGGTCATTATGTCATGAAAGGTTATTTAATTTCTGTGCTTCAAACTCCTATGTTATGAGAAAGGAGCCAGACACAGTTTATTCCACGGAGATACTGGGAAGATTAATTGTGGTTTATAAAATACTAAGTTCCTTTTGCACAGGGACAGAGACTGTTGCCCAATGTTATTTACCTACCACAGGGTCAACAAATCAGACTGGCTTAACCTTTATAGCCTGGATTTTTATTTCTTGGCAAACTAAGGGTAAATATTTTTATGTAGAAAAAGCAGTGCCTCAATGTAAAAATAGAAATTCCTTTTAGATATTAATCATGATCTTCAGGTTTCATTAGCCACAGTGGATATTCTTTCGATGGCAGCAATGGCAAACTTCCTTACTGAATCAAATAAAAGCAGGTGGGAATAGATTGTAAGTGAGGAATGACAGGTACTCACAAGTGCGATTGTACGACTCATGACAGGTACGGGCAATTTCAGCCCCGAGTTGAAGGTAGTGCTGGGTCATGCCTGGGGGAGCATCGTCTGCCCCGAGCGCAAACATGCCTCCAGCAAAGCAGGTCAGGTGGCCCATCTTGTGTTCCAGGAGGCCCCCTTTCCACTCCGCGATGTATGTTAGTCCCGTACTAGACTTTCGGATCATGTGAGTCTCAATTGCCTGAAAGTAAGACTTATTTTCAACATTTTGCAATCTCTTCTCAAATTTATACTAAAAATACCCCCCGACATTAAAAAAAGATAAAACATCACTCACAATTGGAGTTTGATGTTGCAAACCCAATTCAACCTAAAATTACATGTTATTGCCTTCTGTATTCTCCCTCTAGTCTATGCTTTATTAGTTTGGTGAGTTGGAAGGAATGCTGTTGGGCCAGCCTAGTTGTTGTTGCTTGGTTCCATGACCAAATGCGTGGAGTCCTCATACCCAAAAAGCTGTCCCCTTCTCAAAGACAGGCCACTGGTGTAGTGTAATAGTTGGCTTAGAGCATTTCCCTTTCCACAGAAGGAGAAATAACACTGTGGCCCTGCCCTGGATGAAGAATGGAACATATTTGTGTATAAAACCCAGGCTTGTGGTATTACCCTTCCTTTTACTCTTAGGCTTGGAGGGGTAGAAAACTGAGCGGGACAGAGGAGCTGTTCTCGAGTCAGGTTGCCCGGCTTCAAATTCCAGCTGCGATACTTGCTATCTGTGAACTTTGTGGGTTACTTGCTTGCTGTATCCCTAAATCTCAGTACCCTTATTTGGAAAATGGGAATAGTAGAATCTACTGAAATTCTCCGCAAAATTTTGTTTATAGTGCAGTCAGTACTGTGACTTGCACTTGATAAAGGTCATTTACCACAACATTCACTTTTCCATTGTGGTAACACTTGAGTTAAGTTCCCCCTAATAATTCTATTAAAAAGCACATTAGTATGCAATGAATAAATCCTTTTTAAAAAAAGAAAAAATGAATAAAGATCCATAAATTTGGGAGAAATGACAATGTTTACAAAAAATTATTTATAAAACACTTTTATTTCTTCCCCAGGACAGCTGATATTCTTTTAAATTAGATAGGGAAAATACAATAAGCCTTATATTTTAAAAAGCAAAAATGTAGTGCAAGTATTTGGAATTACTAATTTCCAATTACTGTAACCGGAAATGCTCTGCCCACCCCAGTTACTCCATAGAAGGAAAAGTGCTATGACTGTGTCTATACCTGTTATCTATTATCAAAAAAGAGGAGTTTTTTGGAAATATATTTGGGAATAGTAGACACAAACAAAACTTGTGATAGAGAAGAACGAATAAGAATGAATACACAGGCAGATAAAACCTTTCCTATCTTTATTAGAAATAAACAAATGAAACCAAGATGGTAAGAAATAAATGAACACACTACTGTGCTCATTAACTGTGGTTAAGCTAATTTTATTGATGGTCTAGTTATTACATGAATATTTCATTCTTATTTAATGCAACTGAACATCTTAGCTATTTACACTTCTCATAGCACAAATTGCAATAAAGTCCTTCAAGCAGATACTTGATCATCACCCAAGAAATTATTCTTTCTACACGGCAAGAGTAATAGCTTTTAAGCATGGATTAGGGAAACATTATTACCCTGTTATGGATCCTGAATAAAGTACTATATTATTTTTGGCATGATTCTGACCAAGTTGCTACCTCTCAAAATAAACTACAACAAAGTTCCAAGACATTTAAAGCAATATTTGTGTGGCAGTGGGAAAATGTAAATAAATATAAATGAAGAAAAAATAGTCTTTAGTGGCTCTAAAAAACAGGTGCCAAGCCTATGGAGAAGTGATTAGGAAAAAAGAGTATTCCTTATTTTGTGATTTCATCCTTCTATATTTGAAAAAAATTAGTTTGATGAAGCCTTTGAATCCTAAATGTTTAATACATCACTTGCCCAGATACCATTCACTCCAATGGACCTCTGGCAGGGAGAGCATCCACCACTGTGGATTCTCACTGTGGTTTCCAGATAAGGCCATACTAGCCAGTTGAAAGCTCAAAGTATTTTGTTACTAAAACAACCAAAGAAAACATACCACTCTGGGATTAAACATTTTCCAAAATCCACTTGAAGCTAAAACTGATGATCTGTATCTCCAGGAACTCAACTGTCCAGAACAATAATGAAGGGATCTTCTCCTCAGTAACAATGATCTTTTAAATTACAGCTCAGCAGAAAGACACTTTGCTCCATAAGACATGGCTGCTTCTCAAAATCAGAAGCTTAATTGTTCTAGCTTTGCTTTCTAAGTTAAAGACACATAATGGATTGAAAGTGGTTTTTGTTTTTTTTTTTTTTACTATAAAGAGAAATAGGAAACATTCTGACTTTATTTGTTCTTAATGGATTTTCCTGTCAATGGTTTGTCTAAATACAATATGTTAAAGCTGTGTGAGTATAGTTCTAGAAACTGGGGGAAACTATTTCAAAGAATATTTTAAAGTTCCCTTTCCTGGAGGATCAAGATCTCAGGGGGCCACTTTAAGATCAGAATAATAAACTATCCAGCAGGATAGTAATTAAAAAATGACATAATGGGGGGCTGGTCCCGTGGCCGAGTGGTTAAGTTCGCGCACTTTGCTGCAGGCGGCACAGTGTTTCGTTGGTTCGAATCCTGGGTGCGGACATGGCACTGCTCATCAAACCACACTGAGGCAGCGTCCCACATGTCACAACTAGAAGGACCCACAATGAAGAATATACAACTATGTACTGGGGGGCTTTGGGGAGAAAAAGGAAAAAAATAAAATTAAAAAAAAAAAATGACATAATGGAAACCATACTCTATGGATGAGAACTCCCTAGGTTAAAACCTGAAACCTCATAGAAGTGAAGAAAAACCTGGAAGAGGCCATGTGAACCATATCCTAGTCTGCCTTTGACATTCATCACGTGCTTTAATAAAGTCTGTGCTAAATGAAGGCCAATGTTCTAACTAAGGTGTTCTGGTTCTTCTATGTGAAATAGTCAAGAGTTGCATCTGCTCTACTTAGTGAAGCTCCCTATTGCCCAGGGGAGGGAATCAATATAATATTCAATCTGGGCAACCAGAGCAGAGCGAGTTGCATGTATACTTAAATAAATAAATCAGCCTATGTCAAAATCACCCAGACCTCCTGTCAGGGAGACCAATTTTAGAATACTGGCTATATCACCGAGATTACAAATTTCCATTTTTTTCCCCCTATGAATTACTATTCTCGATTATAAAAAATTTCCAAATGGCCAATGAAAAGATCAATTTTCTGATGATTTAGCCATAATTTTACAACATTATTTGAGACGCCTTGATAATAATTAATACTTAAAACATATATGTTACCATACAAAATACTTATCAACCACAAAAGTACTTGATTCTGGTAAAACATTTTGTTCCTGAAAAGTGGGGAACATGTCCATGTGTTTTATATAAAATAATTTCACTTTATTCGCTGTCAAACTGTATTTCATTTTTGACTGAGGCTTAATTGGAGGTGCTTCTGTTTACTTTTCCACTGACTACCTTCTGTAGACTTTGCTAAGTAGTTTCTAACTTTTCTTATTAACTTACTGCCTAGAAAGAAACATTTAAATGTAATATGGAAATTCTTATTCACAAATAAATCCATAGGGGTGAGGTAAAAAGGGACAGGTGTTAACACAAATTTTAGTTGGAATTTTGGTTGCGCACTCACCGTCTCTGAGGTTTAGTTCCCTTATCTGTAAAACTGGGTGAATAATACATAAACTATTGTGAGGAAACAAACACTTTCTTTAAAGTATCTACTAACACACTGCTTAGTACACAGCAGGCAATTCAACAAATTTTTGCTCCTTCTCATTCTTCTTCCATTATAAAGGGTCTTTTAAAACTATTAATAATCTTACCTTAAATATTAGTTCAGTTAGTTCAGAATTTTATAGGTGAATTTCCTTAGAGTACTGTCCACATATCTCTGGAGATAAGTTTACTTCAAATGGAGGTAGACTGGGATTGTCTGTAATCTTGGGCAATTTTTTTTTTTTTTTTTTTTTAACCAAAGAGGAACATGTTTATTTCACTTAAATTCTTAAAAATATTTTTTTGGGGGGCTGGCCCCGTGGCCGAGCGGTTAAGTTCGCACACTCCGCTGCAGGCGGCCCAGTGTTTCGTTGGTTTGAATCCTGGGCGCGGACATGACACTGCTCATCAAACCACACTGAGGCAGCGTCTCACATGCCACAATTAGAAGGACCCACAACGAAGAATATACAACTATGTACCGGGGGGCTTTGGGGAGAAAAAGGAAAAAATAAAAAAAATCTTTAAAAAAAAATATTTTTTTGGCAGTTGTCACATAAAAGGTCCTAATGTAAAAAAATTTCATTAAAAAGAAAAGCATGAAAAAACAGACCCAAAATGTTAAGATTTTATTTACAAAGCTTCTTTGTTGTACAGAAAGTAAAAATGCTGTTACAATCTCGGTGTAACTGGTAGCCACAGACGGCTGACTCGCCAATCACAGCTATCCATGCCACAGCAAGAGTCTGACACGAAAACCTAACAACGCTTATAATTTTGTTGGGGTGAAGTCCTCAATCTTGGTGGTGGATTTCCAAGAGGGACTAAACAGAGGGAGGCGGAATGTCACAGGAACTATTCTTTGGCTCTTTGGGTGGGTGGGTGTCCTGGGGTTTGTATCACAGCTACCTTTTTAAAATTATTATTAAACAGCTACCAAATCCATGAGCAGTCCAACCCATACTGAACAGTTCTCTTTTCTGCAGGTTATTTGGGGTCTTAATCATCTTCTCCTTCATCATCTGTTTCTCTCTTCCTCTTTTCACCTTTCCCGCTTTCTTCCTCCTCTTCATCCTCATCCTCATCCTCTTCATCTTCATCAACTTCTCCATCATGTCCAAACTCTTCCTCCTCACCATCCTCATCCTCTTCGTCCTCCTCTTCTTCGTCCACACCGTCCACCTCGGCATCCGAGTCGGGGGCTTCCAGATCCTCTCGGTCATAGCCATCCAGGTAGGTCAGCTGGGGCAGGAGCTTGAAGACACTCTCTCGGTAGTCATTCAGGTTCGTAACCTCACCGTTAAACAGATCCAGGCTTTTCAGACAGTCCAACTTTTTCAGAGGTTCCAAGGTGCCGATGCCTCTCAGTTTATTTCCACTTAAGTTTAGATGTGTGAGATTTGGAAGTTTTTCTGCTAACACGTCCAGACCTCCAAAGATTCTATTGTCACTGAGCTCAAGCTTTTTCAATTTAGGTAGTTTGGGGAGATTTGAAACTGAAAATCAAGCCTACATTTATTAGACTGAGGAACTCTTTCACAAATTCAGCTGTTAAGCCCTCAATTTTCCCATCGTTTGATTTGCAATTGTCCAGGACAAGTTCTCGAACCGCGGCCGGGGTTCGGTTCCGCAGCTCCAGGTGGATCCTCCTCTTCATGTCCATGTTCCCGTCTTCCCCACTCTTCAGACTTAACTTTCCGCGGCGGGGGCGGAGCGGGGAGAGGCCGCCCGGCCTGCGCGGCGTGGGAGGGAAAGGGGGCCGGAGCGCGGCGCCTCACTACCGCCACCCCCGGCCGCGGCCCCGCACTGCGCTTAAATCGGCGACGCGGCGCAGCCGGCTGCTCGGCTCCACTCGGCCCCGCCAATCTTGGGCAATTTTAACTTAGTCAATTTTCAGAATACAAATTCAGGATTTTCTTCCCCCGCAATTTTAATTGTGCTTCTAAGCAGGGAACTCATACTTACTGAAGAAAAACATCCCTTTTTCAGATATGTGAATCTTCACTGAGGTTTGAACCATGTAAAAAATGTTTAACTGCCCTTAGAACTAAATACATCCGGTCTGATCATTACTATTATAATTATACTAACAGCTTTGAACTCTACCCAAGTGGAAATATTTTGGAACCCACTCATGGAGTATTCCATTTTTTCATTAAAGCTTGATTAATATGCAAGTTATAGGTTAGAGTTGAGCGGCAAAGATGATTTAAATACTGGGTTTACCTGAACAGCCTCAAAATACATCTTCTTAGCTTCTAGATCTTTCTTGCCAGACATTAACCATGACTTTAGCAAATATTCATAAAAGCTGTCTCCAAGTCCTCCAACTGAGACATGATCTGCAAAGGGAGGGAAATGAATTTGAGAGTGATTCAGCCTTTAATTCAGATAATGCAGCAAAATCACATTAGCAACAGGGATGCACAACCCCACATCGACTGCAACTCACGTTACATTTAAATGCCAACAAATCTCTTGTTTTCAGAAAGATATTCTGAAACGAGCAGATGTGCTGTTAACTCATGTGATATACTCTAAATAACTGCCACGGTAGTTTTGTAAACATGAAGATAAAAAATACATAATCACCCCTAATTCCAAAAATCTGGTTCTCTAGCAAAAATACCAAATTAAAATGTTTCATGGTATATATTCAAATAAATTTTTAATTGCTTTAGCTCTCAATAATATAAACTATGTCAAAGCTACGACTATTAGCAAATCTTAAAAAAAGGGGGTTTGCAACAAAACAAGAAGCTCCCCAGCTTCTTGTGGCTTACTATTGTTATTATTACTATTTGGTAAGTTATCTAGTGTTATCAATCCGAAGGATCAAAATCCTTTGAGGAGAGGCAGTATGAAGGATAGAGCAGAAGTTTTTCTTCCTAATACTCCATTTCTACAATCTTCCTCCATTGCCAGTTTTTAAATATTACCTACAATCTTGCAACTTGTAGGGTACATATTCTCATGAAAAGTGTGAAAACTGAGGCTTAGAGAGGCTAAATGAGATGACAGCACTGGAAATGCCATCTGACTCTACAGCCCACACAGGGTCTCGCACGTGGATCTGCTTGCTCTCCCCCGTGAAACACTATATGTATTCTTCCGCCCACTGCTTGAATTCATCCTTTTATTTTTCAAGCACATTTACCTACAAAAACAGATTCATAATCTATTTGAAATATCCTTCCTAGAACTCATAGAGAACTTAAACATTCATAAGATACCCTTACTTTGAAAAATTGCATTTGAAGTTTCATAACTAAAAACCCAATTTTATGTCTATTTAAAAAAAATCAAACCTTTATTTGTTGACTTAGTTATGCAAAAGTCAGTCTGTATTTATACAGCTATCAAGACAATTTTCTCCTGACACCTACCCAACATCTCCACTTGGAGGGCTACGTGGAGACCTAAAAGTGAACAGGTTAAAAGTGAATTGTCTCTTCCTCCTCAACTTTATCTTTGGCTCTGGTCCCTGTCTCACCAAGTGGTACCACTATCCTCTCAACTGCACAAGTGAGACATCAGGTAATCACTCTTGACTTCTCTCTCACTCTCACATCCAGTGAATTACCCAGCTACTGCTTTTACTTCCTAAGGATCTCTTGAATCCATTCACCCCTCCCTGTCCTCACCAATACGATCCTGGCCCAAGCTACCCCTATCTCCTGCCTTCTAGTCTGCAATGGCCAATTATTTGGTCTCCTGCACTCTGATAGCATGTGGCAATTTAAATATAAATTAATTAATATAAAATTAAGAAATTCAGTTCCCCAGACATACTAGTGCTCAACAGCTACATGTGGTCCTTGGCTACTGTACTGACCAGGAAGAGAAAGCACATTTCCGTCATCACAGAAAGTTATAATGGCAGTGCCACTTCAATCTGTTCCCCACATTAATGTCAGAGTACTTTGAACATGTGAATCGGATCACCCCTTCCTTGAAGCCTTCAATGGGGAAGACTCAAATCCCGGGTCTTTGGAGACCTGGGAGGCCCTGCATGATCTCAATCTCTATATCATCAGGCCTGCTCCACTTGCTCTCTGCCCTCTTGCTATTTGGCCCTTCTTTTGCTTCCTCATAGCCATCAGGGGTCAGCCCCATGGCTGAGTGGTTAAGTTTGTACGCTCCCTTCAGTGGCCCAGGGTATCGCCGGTTCAAATCCTGGGCGCAGACATGGCACCACTCATTAAGCCACACTGAGGCAGTGTCCCACATACCACAACTAGAAGGACCCACAACTAAAAATACACAACTATGCACCAGGGGGCTTTGGGGAGAAAAGGAAAAAATAAAATCTTTAAAAAAAAAAAAGCCATCAGGCTCCTTCCCACCTGCGGATTCTATAGGCATTGCTCTCTCTGCCTGAAGTGCAGTCCCTGACTCCTTTCCCCCACATTTAGTGATTCTCACTCATACTTCACATCTGGGATCAAATGTTGCTTCCCCCAAAGAAGCCTTCCCTGACAGCCCACTGGGTTCCCTCGTTACACGCTTTTTGATAGCATGCGTCTACCATACTTGCAATTTCATAAAATGGAGGAATTTTTTTCTGTCTCCTTCTTGAGATTATGATCCAGCAGGACAGAGACCAGACCTATTAAGTTTTCCAGTCCACATCCGCCCCTAGAAAGTATCCTGAACATCCTAGATACTCAGTAAACAACTGATGAACAAAGCAAAATTCTAAGTCAGTCTTAATAAGGATTACTTATTCAAGCCAGAAGGGTTATATTTTTAGGTAGCTAAATATGTTATTTTCTCATTGCAAAAAGTCCAGAATTATAGTTTTAAATTTAATGTAAAATTAGTGTTTTTAAAATTGGAAGGCTGATTCTTAAAATAGCAGTGTTTGAAGTGACCTTTACAGTTTCCTAAATGAATCGCTACAGAAACCTCTGACATTTACAAACTAAACAGACTAAGTACCATCTCATCAATAACAAGCCCTGTTGTTACAAACATGATTGCAGGAGACAAAGGCAAGTGATGCATGGTAAAGCAAGTCACCGTCTGGTAACTGTCGAAATAACAAGGACTAAATGAAGTAATAGAAAACGATGGCAGGGATCCAGACATGTCCTTCAGAGTTAAAGCAATGAGAGTTGAAAACCAACAGTCAGAAGCAGCTTCATTTTCTTCCCCCTTGGGTTATGATTCTCAAATGGATGGAAGAAGCAAGTTTGGGCATTTGGTGATTTTTAAAAAAGGAAAAAGGGTTAAATAATAATACATTTGTTTTAGTTAATTTTGGTTAAGTGCTGGTTAATTTTCTGGTTTTTATTTCCTGCCTGTAAAATTTTCATACTGGGAAAGAATCAAAATAAAGGAACACAGAGGAGAAAGAAGAGAAAGTCTTTTTGATAATTTAGCATATCACTCACTAAGCTTCCTTCATGTCTGGATGACTATTTGTGTTGGCAACAGAGTCCTGTGTAAATATCTTAGTGGATGTGGGAGAGAACATATCTGATTTTATCAGCAGGAAAGGACTGCCTACTTCTAGAAAGAATGTATATGATATTTTTATTCCTGAATGGCTTAAAGGTAATATATAGTCACTGAAATATTAATGTTCTTCTCTAAAGGGGGCAATTTATTCTTTTCTTCCCAATAGGAATGGGTTCCATAAAAGGATTCCTAATACTTAGAAAGAGAAAAAAGCAAAGCAAACAGCAAAAGAATCAAGACAAAAACGAACACTCAATATCTTCATTTTTTAATACTTTGTAGACTTCATCTGAACTTCTCTCCACAAAGCAATCCCCTAATGATGCTAGTAACACTATATCTATCTTAATGTTGTTATGTTAATCAAAGAAGGGAGACAGTTGTTTTGTCTATAGACACAGAGCCCCACATCTGGCCTCTACAGTCACAAGATATTATCAGCGAGCAGGGCTGGATGCTGCCTCTCAGCCACAATTGAGCAGCAGGGACAAACTGCTCAAAGAGAACAAATAGAACCATTTTTAAAAGCAGAGGCAGAAAGATAGTGAGACTGGACACAGAGTGCATGAGTATTCACTAAATTCAAGTAAGTAAACTTTTACTAGGTGCAAGATACCACGTGTTGGGTTAACAAATATGACTAAGACAAAGTCACTGCCCTCAAAAGTTTTGGATTCCTAGGAAGGTGGGTATGTATATGAATCATTAGGAAATGGATTGTGATAGGAAAGTACCCAAGTGTTGGGATACGGGAGGAAAGGGGGTGAGTAGAGGAGGAGCGGGAGCTAACAAATTCCAACGAGGGTCTTGAAGAAGAAGGCCTCTAGAAGAAATGGTGAGGGGCTGGGCCTTGGTGGGGCTGGAAGAGTTGTAAAGAGGTTGAGGAAACAGCACAAGTCAAGACCTGGATAAGGCCAAGCAGGCCTTGATTAAAGAATGAAAAAATAAGTGTGTCTTCCTTGACGCTGGAACATATGATGGGGGTGGCGCAGGAGGGACAGGAGACTCATCAACCCTATTTGTTTTTCCATCAGGAAATTGGCCATAAGCAATCCAAAGATAAAGGTCTCTTTGTACCAAGAAACATGGCCAAATGCATGGGATATGGTGACCCAGAAGGTGAAGCTGGGCTGTTCCAGCACAACTGACTCCTTTTATCCCTCTTCATAGTGACTTCTAAATCCCAAATCACAGGAAGAAAACAGTAAACAATAGAGACTTTTCTTCAACTTTTGAAATCTTTTGTGAGGAGGAGAACTCTAAAAATGCTTGTCCTTTCAGAGAATCAGATCTAGTCATCTTGTACTTAGAAAGCTACGTGAGTTGTGTTTTATCCCAAATACTCTAGTGGCCCTCAAACTTTTTAGTCTCAGCACAACTTTATATTCTTAAAAATGAATCAGCACCCTGAAGAACTTGTTTATGTAATATCTTTCCGTATTTACCATTTTGTAAATTAAAACAGAATTTAAAATATTTTCTTAATTTGTTTAAAATAACAATATACCCATTATGTTAACATACAGTTTTTTTCATAAGAATACTTTGTATTTTATGAAACAACAACATTTAGCGAGAAGACTGACACTGTTTTACATTTTAATGTTACTGTACTAGGAGACAACTGGATTTTCACATCTGCTCTACATTCAATCTTTTAGTATACGTTTTTCTGGCTGAAACACATGAAGAAAATTCAGCCTGACACATTTATAGCTGGAAAAGGAGAGGGTATTTTAATAGTCCTTTCAGATAATTGTGAATATTTTTCTTTGGTACTACAAAACTTGACAAGTGGTTTTCTAAAGGTTAAAGTTTTTTAACAGTTAGTTGCAATGTGTAATTAGAAACCACATCAATGAACTTTTGTACCGTTACATGAAAATCCATTGGGCTACCTGGCACTTTGAATGGGTCTTTTTCTCACATATGGTTTTGTAACAGCATGCACTGGTCATTTGGGAAATATTGGTTCACTAAATTATGCAGCTCTTCCAGCTGTTGACACATTTCATTATACAGTATCCAAAACCCCACATTTGTTAACATTATCACCAATCTCAGCCAAAACGTCTTAAAGTGTTGGTTAAAGGCAATCAGTTCATGGCGGCATATACACGTTTTCCAAAGTTCTAATTTTTTTTAAGAAGCTCAAATCTTATCATTGGCACAGATACTGTCAGTTTTCTTTGAAGTGACAGGCACATTTATGTGACCATGTCTACCAATTATGCAAGCCTGAATAACCAGTTTGTCTTTGGTTGTTCTTCCAAGTAAAAATGGTGACCCATGAAGCAATAAGTGGCTAGTTCAGCTTACAGCTCAAACGATGACACAAGAGCTTGTCTTTGAGGCAACCACTATTTTTCATTATGCAGCAGAAGTGCTTTAAGCATTCTTTCCGTTTAATCATACAGAATATTACAAAGATGTGTACTCAATGGTTGAGATTTACCAGAATCAATATATATATATATTTTGCTTCCTTAAGAACATTCATAAGTGAAACAGACATCTTTTTATTTGTTGTTGTTATCTGCAGGGAAGAATACAACATTAGTACTATCTGGGGCCTCCACTGTGGTTCTCTCTATGGCTTCAGCAGTTTTACCCACTACCGCTTTTGCAACATAAGTGCAAACGTCAACACAGTGAAAAAGGGAGGAGGTTTTGATATTATTACAAAAATAGCTTTGACCTTGTAGATCCCATGAAAGGTCTCAGGGATGTCTGGTGATCTGCAGACCACACTTAGCCTAAGCGGCACCCTTTATTACGGTCTTACTGTCTCAAGAGCTAGGCCTTCCATAGCCATTACTAACGCACAGACATAGATTTTAGCATATTTTTTTCTACTAAATTATTCTTTAAGAAAAGTCCCTCTAAAGTAACAGTGAGGCATAGTCATCTAAAATTTTTTTAAATATAAAGAAAAAACTCAAATTAGAGTAGAATTTTAAGGGATCGCTAATACTCTCAGCACAGCAAGGCATCTCACTTAGTATTCTTCATTTGCTCTCAGTTGCTGCTTAATCTACCACTGTTTTTCCAAATCAGCTTGAGACCATTTCTGTCAACGACTCTGAATATTTATATGGCTGGTCAAAGTCCCTAAGGATCTGAAGTGAGGGCTTCTGGCATAATACTTTCTTTTACTCTAAAGGTTACTCTACTGGCAAGAAACCTTTATCTGCTGGCTTAAAATTAAGTAGGGAAAGTACTGTTTGTTCTTGCAATTTCCCACCCTTATAGATTTAGTCTCCTCTCTCATCTTGGAGCCAAGCAAAGAGATAATGTTATGAAGTAAGATGATCTGTGCAAAACCCTGAAAGCCATTAGCACAAAGGAAAAATTTTCCCTTCTATCCACATGACCAGCTGGTTAGAGGCTATCATCCGCACCCCACCCTCACCAGATCTTCCCTCTGGGGTTAACAGCTTTAAATGCGCTTATATGTCAGCGTGCTTACGGTATGCGTGAATAATAAACAATCTATATCCCTGGCAACATTTACAGTCTGTCTGTCCACAGAAGCCTGTTTATTAAAGGAACCATACCCCCTTTTCCCTTTTCTAAACATTCCTCAAGATTTGTGCTTTTTTGCGCTCCTTCTCTCTGTTACTAGAACAGTACTGGGTACCAAAAAGAGCTAAAACAATGCTAATCTTTTGACTTACATTGACCCCACTGTCCACTACTGGGATTCAGATAGTTAGGATAGAGGCCTTGTGGTTTTTCCAGGTTGTTCAGTACTGTTCGAATATTCGTTACCTATAACAGAAAATGAAAGGTTACTGTGAAAATCTGAAAAACAATTTTGGTGCCAATCTTCTGTCTTTCTTCATTATATTTTTCCACGTTAGAAAAAAAAGGTTGATTTCAGTGATGTAGAATTAGAGCAAAGATGGTTGCCACCAGCTTACAAAAATGATAGCAGTAAGTGAATGCAACCATACTGATCTACCACATGCCAGACACCATCCAAGGAACTAGGGATATATCAGTGGATAAACGAAGTCATTACCCTTTTGGAATTTGCATTATAGTGGGATGAGACAGATAATAAAGAAATAAGTATAACATGTCAGGGGGTAATAAATGCTATGAAAAAAATACGAGAGGGTAATGGGACAGAGAGTGATGTGAGGTGGTGAGGCTGTACTGTGTTGGCCAGGGTCATCTGGGGAGGCTGAGGGGAGAGTCTTTGAGCAGGAACTTAAAGGAGCAAAGGAGAAAGCCATGTAGAAAACTGGAGGAACAACCTGGGCAGAGGGGGCTGCAAGTACAAACGCCCCGAGGAAAGAATGGGTTTATAAGACTACTGAGGCTGGAGGTGAGGAAGCAAAGGGAGAATGTCCGAGAACAAAGAGAACAAGCCTGGGCCCACAACACACAGACCTCACAGGCCATCATGAGGGCTTATTTTATTCTGAGTGTCATGGGAAGCCATTGAAGACTTGTGTGTTTACAGGTTTGGTGTGACTGGGGGCAAGAGAGGGTGTGGTGGTCAGGTGGCTACCGCAGAGATGATGGATCCTTGGACCATAATGACAGCAGAGGTACAGGATAGAGCCAAAGGATTTTTTGATGGATTGGACCAGAGGTTTACCAAGAAGACTAAGATGACCTCAAGATTTTTCGTCTGAGCCACTGGGTAAATTGAGGTGCCATTTCCCAAGATAGTGAGGACTGGAGTAGAAGCAGGTCTGGGGTTTGCGTCTAAGGCATTTTAAGTAGGAGTTGTCCTGCAGACCTCTTAGTGGAAACATTGAATAGATAGTTGGATATAGAGTCTGGTGCTCAGTGGACAGGTTGGGACTGGAATTATAAATTTGAAGTCCACAGCATAGAGATAGTATGTAAACCCATGAGACTGGATGAAACAGAGCAGAGACGGAGCATAAGAAGAAGAGGCTCCGGTTTGAGTCCTGGGGCTTTCCAGTATTTAGAGGTTGGGCCCATGAGGAGGATCCAACAAAAGAGATTGAGAAGGAGCATCCAGTGAGGAAGGGCAAACCAGGGGAGTATTGTGTGCCTGCAGCCAAGCGCAGAGAGTGTCTCATGGAGAAGGAAGTAACCATGTGCATCTGATGCTGAGAGGGCAAGGAAGATGAAAGGTGAGAATGATCACTGGATCTGGCAATGTGGTGCTCACTGCTCACCGTGACAGATGTGGTAGGGAGAAAAGTGGGACTGGAAAGTGTTCAAGAGAATGTGAGACAAGAAGAGAAGATAACAAGGATATCTCTTCCAAGGAGTTTTGCTGTAAAGGGGAGCTGAGAAATGGGGTGAAAGCTAAGGGCAGAGTGGTAGGGTGAATGAATTTATCCAAATATCTATGAGTTTGTTTCTTGAAAATTAGAAATAGATTCAATTGCTACCTCACATTTGTATAACACTTCGAGTTAAAAAAGTCTTTCACATACTTGGTTCATAAAGTCCACACAACACTATATATTTTTAGATAAGGAAAAAAATTCAGGGAGTTAAAGTGACTTGCTTGAGGTAGAGAGAAGCAGACATGTACGCCAGGCTCCTTCACACTGAGTCAGCACGGGGCCATGAAGAGACCAGGGGTTTGCAGTCTGATTAAATGAAATGGTGCATATAACAAAACTTCATCAAGAGCCATGTCAAATTACACTTGGTTGTTGTTTTCCACATCCAATATTACTAAATCTCCCCAGAGAGGAAATTGCTTCTCACAAGTACTGCTTTGCAATGCAAGGCATTTTGGAGAATCTCACCTTTTCAGCAAAGACGGGGTTTCCTGATAAGTGGCTCAAATGTATAAACTCCAAATGCAGAGTTCCGAATTCTGCCAAAATACTGCTGCCTCCTGAGGCCCAGGGCCAGTTCCTTCCAATCCCACTAAAGAAGAGAAGAGATTGAAGAGTTATGGGTCAGACTAATTCTGGGTGTTTTTTTTGCAGCTCTAAATAGCAGAATGAAAGAGACAGCTTTTGAATAATGGCATCTCAGTGAATAGTCCACTCTGGATATTTCTAAATACCCAGCACTGTGGTCTTTGACTGGCTCCTGATTTCAGGCTTTGACTCCTATCTCCAAATTGAAAATTAGTGTTGACTTAAGTCAGAAAGACGTTGCTTTGTACTCGCTGTTGATGAACAGACAAATATTTTGGAAGGTACAGACCAGACCATATAGAGATGCACACCCATTCCAAGTAGAATATAAAACCAAATTAGACCAAAACACTCCCACCATGCCCCAAATCCCACTCAAAGCCCTTTAACGTTTTAATTAATTTCAACCTGAGTTTCCACGAACTGTTATAGATATTCACATTATGTACAAAATCTTTCTTGGATATAAGATAAATTTCAAAGATTCATTAGGTATATACTTGCTCGACTCCTCTCCAAACCCTTTATCCAATTACTAGACTTCCTTTCTTATGTTTCTCTTGACACTATTTTACCTATTTTCTAAGTATATTTTCTAAGGCACTCACTCATTCCATGACCTATTTAATCTATGCTCAAGAACTTCCAAAAACTATGTAATTCAAATATGAAAGGGGTCAAAGGCAGGAGCTTCAAAAATTATTGCCTCATGGCTCCACTTGGAGAAATGCTTCTTAAAAAGAGTTATTCCTAAAAACACTCACACACACACACACACACACACAGAAATACACATAAAGTGGCTCTTGAGACATGGTCATATTCTTGGGTACAGTTATTTCTGGGAAGCCACATAAAACATCAAGATGTATGTGATAATTCAGATGAAGAATAAAGTTAATGAGTCTCCCGACCAATAAATTCCCTTGCATAAAGCCAAAAACCCTCATTTTGGTTTTAGTTCAGAGGCACATCTACTGCACGCGTATTTGCCAGGGACTATGCATGGCACTGGGTTACAAGGATGGTTATGACGAATAAATTGTGCTTTTCTCAAAGACATTATAGGGTAATGGGTCTAGTGGAATGAAAGAATAAATAGTTCCAACTGAATATGGTAAATGTCAGGAAAAATGGGTGATGAGTTCTCTCAGCAACTAGAGCCAGGACAGGCAATCCGACACGATGGGGATCAGAACAGATTCTTTCAAGAAGAAGGGTCCTGAGTTGATTCTTGAAGGATGACTAAGAATTAGTGAGGGAAGAATGGTGGAAGGGAGAATGTGGACATGGAGAGAGTGCACAGCAGAAGGTCTAGCCAGAAACTGGAGGCGGCTCCGGATACCGGTGAGTGGATGGACCGGAAGGTGGCAGGAGAGAAAGCATAAGATGAAGTTGAGGCCAGATCTCGGAGGCTTGTGGACGTTTGATTTTCCTCTCTTTCCAAGTTGGATTCTATTTAAATACTGCCTTGGTGTCCTCCAGATTTCCTACCCCCTTATATCATCTGCAACTCTGAGTAAACCCTTCCAGTTCTGTCATTGCTTCTGCTGCAGGGCTGCTGAAGAAAAGGAAATTAGTGAGGATGCCTGATATTTGACATTCTAGGCTGCCTTCACACTTACTTCATTTCTTTTAAGAGCAAAATCTAGATTTTGTTCCAAAACATAGATTTACAGTAAATCTAATAAAAAGTAAGACTAAGATTGGAAAATCACCTATTCCTTTATTGTAGAAAATGCCTTATATTTATTAAGTTCTGGGAACATGAGTCAGTTTTTATTTTCCTGGTGTTGGCTTAGATTAAAGGAATATTCAATCATCCAAATAGGATGAACACCTACTTTCAAATTTTAACATATGGCACATGCACACAGTAATTGGTTATTAATTTGTTGTCATGACATATTATTTTTTTTATTCCAACCATTTCATCACTGACCAAAGTCAACAAACCTATTAAACAAAACTACAAATTTCTATGTTCTAGAGAAACTATTAAAAACAAAGCCACAATATCAGGGTAAGAAGGAATGAGGACTTCATCTTGGAGAAGGAAGAGGACAGTATGCTGGGGACTCCGGCCGTTTCCAGATCCTCAGGGACGGGTTCTTTTCATTTCAGGATATTAGAGGGTGTGGTGGCACTAAAAAGCACTAAAATTCAAATTGCTTTTGTATCCAGGCATTTGTTCCCTGCTATTAATGTAGTTAATCAAGAGAAAACTAGAGACATACCGAAAAAAAATTCAGTACGTTAAAAAAATTAAGATTTAAAAAGGGTTATATATATATTCTCTCTTTCTACTTCTTTGCACACATTCATATTAGAAGGCAAACAGTGCTCTTTTCTATCACTGTTTAATTATATAGGGAGCAAGAACATTCAAAGCACTAGCAAAGTATAAGTCATACTGGGTTTAGAATAGATGGTATTTTATAGGAAAGAATGGCTTTGGTTACCATCTTTTCAACCTGAAGAATTCATTTATTTCAGTAAAATTATAAGATTAACAGTTGTGCTGGCTCTTATATATAAGTCAGGGAAGGGTTTCAAGAAATCGTAGAGGACATCATTATATCTAGATATTAAATAAGGCCACTCACTTTTTCTTGGGCAAAGCTGCAAAGACCTGGAGATTGGCGGGGGGAGAACACGGGGCACACACTATGGGCCAAAACTGCTAAAATACATGCACGTTGGGGAAACAGCTGCCTACATGCACAGCAAATGTGCAGTGAGTCAGAACTAAGTTCTGGTCACTCATAGAATGACTTCTAAGATCTGTTTTTTCTCTAAATTCTACAAGTCCACTGAGGAGTCTATTTATCTGTATGACTCTAACTTCTAAAATGATATATATGGACAGTGGGCACTTGACACCAACATGGTCGGTTTATGATAAAGGGAAATGAGTCCAGAGAGAGCTCAGCTCCCTTGGTCTGGGGGTTAGGGTGCCCAGGGCCTCCCATGATACCAAAGGCTCTAAGCTTTCTAGAACTCTGGGGTCAGAATAAATCTCATCTGAGGGAGCAGAGGATTGAAAATGTCTTTAACTTCAGCTCCCTTATCACAGTATTTTAAAGGCTGTCGTAGTGTTCTTTAACTTTATTTTACAAACACTAATAATATTTTAGAAAAATATTTTAAAGATAACAGTTTGTGTTCAGAAACTATTAGTTCCATAAGGCAGGCATGAAAGGGAAGAATATTTAAATATCCCCAATTTTGTTATAATGACTGCATTTTGAGTCAAAATGATGAGTCAGCATATGGAAATGTATACACAAAAAGGCAATTAACATGATTTGGGGAGCTGCCAAGCGTTTGGTTCAAAGAATCCTAGAACAGAACTTCAAACTTTGCTATCACTCTCATTTCATTTATTTCTGTTCCCTCCAATCCCCAGTTCTCCCATTTTAAATTGGAGTATTATTTAATATATGTTTCAATTTTTAATGAAAGTAAATTCTCAGTAGTCTACAAAGGAAATAATTCTTTGAAAATAAAACCTTACAACAAAAAATAACTGATTTTGGCAATCGCAATTAGAAACATGTCTTTAAAAAAATCGAGTTGCTATGATTCTTTTGAAAATGTGGAATACTATGTTGTTGCTTTAGAGACTATAATTTGAATGTAGTTTATTACCAGTGATAATATGCTTCCTCGTCCTACTGTACTCAAAAGCAAGAAGGTATAATTATTTACTGACCTCATAGCTCTAATAAGCAACGTGCATTATATATTTTTCCTTCTCCCTCCTGGGAATGGTTAATAGTGCCAGAGAAAGGAGCTACAGTACTAATGATGCTATTCTACTCACGTTTGAATCCCACAGGAGAGCTGCTAACTCTTCTCCTGGAGCTTGTAATGAATCAAGCAGCTGCAGGGTTATTCTGGATTGATGGTATAGCCCTTCAAAATAATCTTAAATCGAGCTACTGAAAGTTATGTGTTATAGTGATTGCTCGGATATAATTTGGATCATTAACAAATACATTTGACTACTTTGTATAATCAAATGCAACAAATAAAGAATTTACAGAACTGAAACAATTCTAAAAAACCACCAGATTTCATTAGCTATGACTTTCAGTTTACTCTTCCTTGCTGCTTGCTATTCTAGGCAAAATGGGAAATGAGCCAATAAAGACTTATCTAGAGGATTCTTGCCTGAATAATTTCTGATTAGCTGATCAGTAAACAAACTCCCTTCATGTTCATAGTCCAGAATATAGGTTACGCCTTGGGGTTCTGGAGTTAATAAGTTTTGGAAGAAAAAAATTCCCCACATTCTATGTATTATGGTAAAGCCTTACTTCTGTATGCAAATAGAGAGACACACAGGGATATTTAATTCAACAAAGCAGATAATCCAATATTATTCCTTTCGGATTTTAGCACAAATTAGGAAAGAATAATTAGAAAGTTCGTGAATGATTGTTTCATTTAACTGTATTCCCAAAACTAACTGATTGTGAGATTAAGCAATTTCCGCTTTACTTATTTCAAATGTCTCCTTCCTAAAATGGTTTGCACAGTGCCAGTGTTTCAAGTCCATAGTCTAAGACCTCACTAAGAGTTGGACTAACAATTCCAGGGACTGGCATTCTAAGACGCATCAAGATTCTACTGTAGCTCATTCATAGAAAACTTGACTGGGAGGACGACCTCCCTGAGTGCTTTCCCACAGGGAAAGGTGGCTAACACAGGGTAGCCATTTGACTGAATTAATTCGTAATCCATAGCTTACTCCTTCTGAACAGCGGCATGTGGGTTAAATCTGCAAAGAATTTCCACACTCAAAGCTTTTAACCAAGGGTCAAAATAATGTTTTAAAATTAGCCATATCTTGCTGCCTCTTATGGGTGATTATTTCATATAGAATTGAAATGGAATACTTATTATTTTAGTTTATCCTTACCCTCAATACTACTGTCCTTGTATTTTACTATCTAGGATTGGAGGAGAGGCTGGGGTTCCAAAGTCTCAGATGGTGAG